GCTTCCAGATCTAATGCTATCCGGCATTGACTAGTAAGTTATCTACCGAAAAAAATGCCCAACTCGAAAACAAGGAAAGTAGAAAAATGATAGCATATTCACATTTCTCCGATGTTGTTAGTTTTTTGTGTGCTAGTATCAAGTTTCTGACTTAACTGCAGAAACCTCTATTTCCACTTATCATCCCTTCAATAAGAAACTGTGCGAATTTTATCTTACGAGTACACTGAAAGGAAGGTTGGGGAGGAAAGGAATGTTATAGTAGGGCTAACTTTATCTTCTTCGACATTAACCAGCCACGATTCTTTCTGCCGTTTTGGGACATGGCCTTGAGTTTAATTCTTTTCAGGTAATAAATGGTGGGCCATCCGTTTGGTTTCTTTTTTAAATTGGTATTAAACTACACTCTTCAATAACATGTAACACTCGATACTTTATCAAAATAATACACCTTCCGATTATGTATGAAAAACATTTCAGATAAATGGCTGCCGCGGCTAGCCTGGCAGTACTCCATCTCTTAACCCAATTTTGAAGCACATTTTCGATAGTTGTGGGTCTATTTCATCAATAGCTCGTCTGATATTTTCCTTAAGAACATCAATTGTTTGAGGATTGTTAGTGTAACAGGGGTCCTTAACAGTACCCATAGGAAGTAATCCATGGGCGTCAAATCACAGCTGCGGGCTGGGCCAATGAACGTCTCCAAACCGTTGATAGCGCGATGACCGAACTAAGTGTGTAAAAGATCGATTATTTCACGGTTGGTGTGGCATGTTGCGCTGTTGCGCCATCCTGCTGGAACCAGATATTGTGCAAGTACATGTCGTCTATAATAGTGGCCACAAAAAGCTCCTCAACATGTCTCTATAGCGTTCCCCGTTTACTGTCTCGTTGTCACCATCTTCATCTTGAAAGAAGTAGGGACCAATAATCCCACCACTCTTTTTGGACGCATTGGTCTTTCGATGACGACATGTGGATTTTGAACCCCGAATCCTACAGTTCTGCTTAATAACGTAACCTCCTAGATGAAAATGGGCTTCGTTCGAAAAGATGGTTTGGCTTCCAAAATTGACGTCCGTGTCCAGTTGATTTAGAGCCCACATAGAGAAATGATATCGAAGCAGATGCTCATTTTGTTTCAACTCTTGAACAAGTTGCACCTTGTAAGGAAATAATCCCAGATCGTTATGCAATATTCTCGCACAGAACTGCGACTGATGCCCACATGTTGTGCTCTGTGACGAGTTGACATTCTTACGTTTTCACGAACACTCTGGGGAACAGCAGGAATGTTTTCAGCTGTATGTACGGGTCGAACACGCTCATACCTTCTGTTATCCACAAGCAGGCCAGTTTCACGAATCTTCTTCACGAATTTTCGTATACCAGTCGCGGACGGAGCTTCATTCCGACCAAATAGTCTTCTCAATTTTCGCAGAGTTTCTGCAAAACAGCATTCACTTTGAAAATAGTTTTTCAATATTTCCCACCTTTATTCAAGATTAAAACGATTCATTGCTCACACCGGAACTTTGACACAATATATCTGTCAATATGTTTAGCATGGAGGTGTTACCAACTGTCAAAATAATACCACCTTAAAAAAACCACTGATGGCCCACCCTTTAGTACCAATACCACTTGCCCAACCAGTCTTCAAAATTGTACATTAATGTGCTTTAGTAAGTTCCAACTGAGGTTTTGAACCTGTGTATAGAGTAGATAATCCTTTTCCTTTTATTTACACTTTATCATTATCGCTTTCTTTTGATATACATTGACACCGATTCACTCACTCATCATTAACTCAGGCTGCTTGCTGAAGTGGGATTTGTGTTCATGTATCTACTAACCCGTTTGCGTGAGCCATGCAGGTTTAAATTTTTCTAACTACGGATGTTCTCTCTGTAGATTAAGGGTGGAGGTCAGAAGAGGTACAGTAGATCTCGATGTCAAGGCTAGATTCTAAGCACGTCACACGCACATGTTCCATCACCAACAAACGCGTGTAGTCCCTCCGTCGCTATATCCTAACACAGTTCCACGGTTCTCAGTAAAACTCATTTCTGGAACCTTCGTTATGATCCAAGTAAAAGCAAGTAGGCGCTTTATAATATTCTGTCTATTCCAAAGGATTCGGACTAGGTAGAAGGGGTTAGTCAAGGATTTGTTTGTCTCCTAATTCTCATAGTCAGGATCAAAGCGCGTTTCCAGATAATTGTGGTACTAAACGATTTCAATACAATGGTAATTCTTGCATAACTTGCAGAGATCACCATAAGCGTAATGATTGTGAACGTGTCCACCGGTAATAATAATAATAATAATAATAATAATAATAATAATAATAATAATAAAATAATAATAATATAATAATAGTGTTTATTGGAGTATTAACATAATAGAATCAAAATACGAGCAAATAATATAACACAAAAAAATAATACTCCAAAGGGCTGGGGTAAATTCATTAAGTGCATTACTATATCTTACTAGGGTATATCATATACATTACATAAAGGATATTTGGTTGACTATAATAATGCTAACAACACTTTAAAATAATAAGATTAATAATGAGATTTATTCAGCCACTTGTGGATTCATTAAATTGTAACTGTAATAGCATTCTTTTGAATTCTCTTTTGAAGCTGTGAATGGACGTTAATTTAAAGAAACTTGGGTAATCATCTAGTATACTGTAATAGAAACATTTTTTAAATTTTGAGGTAGTGTGGGCTGGTATATTATAACAATATTCATTACGGAGGAACAGTTGATGGAGTGAAGATCTTTTCTCTAATGTGTCAAAAAGATATTTCGGAGATTTATATTTCAAAACCCTAAATAGTAGAACAGCATAAAGAAGTAACGAGCGATATTTGAACTTTAAAAGATTTTCCCTTAGATAATACCCAGTAATGTGTTCGCGTCTGTTTATCTCATTGAAACAAAACCTCATACAATGGTTTTGTAAAACTTGAATTTTCTGTTGCATTTCCTCAGTGATAAAAGGGTAATATACAGTACTACAATAATCTAAATGTGTGAGGATTAATGCATTAACAAGTTTTAGTTTGATATCACTTGTTAATATATGCTTATATCTCCATAGCGATTTGTATTTATAATAACATATTCTGAGCTTATTTATAATGTGACTTTCAAAACTTAAATTCTTATCAAGTACTATTCCCAAATTTTTTGTTTCTTCAACAAATTCAATGTTAATTCCTTCTAAAAATATGTTCGTATTTATTACTTGTTTACACTTCAGAATCGCTAGTCTAGAACCAACACAACATACTTTGGTTTTCAAGGGATTGAGCTTCAAAATGATTTTTTGAGTACTGTTCAATTAAATTTTTATTAAGTTTTAATATTAAAGAATTTACATCGGTTGGTTGAAATGGTTTGTAAACTTGTACATCATCCGCATACAAATGTACATTCCAGTCAGATGATGTATGTTTTATCAGATCTGAGGTATAGAAAGTAAATAAAATAGGACCTAAAACGCTGCCTTGTGGAACACTAGACTTCAAAGCTCGTAAAGTAGACACTTTACCACGCAATTTTACACATTGAGATCTATCAAACAAGTAATTACTAAACCACAGCATGGCATTTCCGGTCAATCCATAATGTTGCAGTTTTTCACACAAAACTCTGTGATTTACCATATCAAATGCCTTGCTGACTAGTAGCGTTATCATGCCATCGTCTATAAATTTCACTATATCACTGGAAATTTTAATGAGCGCTGTAGATGTATTATGTAATTTCCTAAACCCAGACTGGGTGTCAGGCAACACTTTGTTGATTTCTAGATGCTCACGAAGTTCATCATCTACAATTTTCTCTAACAGTTTGGACATTGAAGGTAAAGCACTTATTGGTCTGAGGTCCTTAAAATCGATGGCATTATTAACTTTTGCAAGTGGTGTTATGACTGCTTTTTTTCATAATGATGGCACTTCCCCTGTACTCAGTGATTGGTTGATGATACTGGTTAGCTGATATTTACAAAAAGAGAACACGTTTCTCAACATGTTTGTAGTGATACCATCAACACCCGCAGCATTTGACTTGACTTCTTTCAGTTTAAGTTCAACTTGGTCTGATGTAACATGATTAAATGAAGACTTGCATACTATAGAATTCTTTTGATATGAGAATGTGTTAAGAAATAAGTCATCTGGCTGCAGGTTTGGTACAGAGTTAATAAAGTGATTATTGATGCTTTCAGCGTTTTCAAGGTCCTGTGATATGTGTTTACTGGATTTTGTGTGTATATTCACCTGGAGAAACTATTCCACATCTGTTTAGGATTATTATAATACTTATTAAGCTGGAATTTTATGTAAGCAGTTTTTTCATTCTTCAAAGCTATTCCTAAATAATTTCTTAGATCACTATAATATGCACGATGTTCTTTTTTTCTGGTTCTTCTGAACTTG